CCAACATTGGAGGTTTTTAAGAAGAGATTGGACAACCATTGCCTCGAATGGTATAGCATTTCTTGCTTAAGCAGGGGTTTGGACTAGAAGGCCTCCAAGATCCCTTCCAACTCTGTTATTCTGGTATTCTGGTTGGAAAGTTGATTCAATTGCCTTCAAGTTGAAAATTCAAATCACAGGTTTATGCTGTCCCAGTCATGTCTTCCATATGTGCAAAGTATATACAACTTAGACTGAGAGACAGGTGCATCCCGTCTTTGATTCATTTAGTTGACATTATTTTTCTCAGCTTCTGCTTCTTTGTAGTGTGTTAGAAATCCTGTAAGCATACTGAGAAATATAAGTCACCAATTGCAACAATCAAGGCAGCTCTCCATGTCATTCCTCTCAAATTTCAATTCAACTGACATTTCCTAAACATGTACAGGTTGCCTCAGTTTCTTTGATTCCTTTGCACCCCCTGTTGAGCAAAATGAACAGTAAAAAGCACTGCAAAATAGTAGCTTTGTGGTACTCCAAGAAGGTGCATCATAATTCCTTCCAATTTTGGGTGTTTCTTGCAATAGGCAGAACAAGATATAAAATCATGTGGATGGATGTGGAGAAATGTATCAAGTTCGCTTTCTTTTTGCAGTGTTCTTTTTCATGTGCAAAATGAAGGGGGGTGGGAAAAATATGAATGGAGCGAAAACTGAGCAAACAGTGTCACTTCCTCTTCCACACAAAAATACAATGGAAAATCACAGACAGGATCAGTCATTCAAAAGCTTACAAACTCAGCAAAAAAATTAGATGTGGAGGATTTCAGAAGTGGCCTTACTTAAAACACAACTAAAAAATACCCCCCAAAATTCAACAAAATTACCGTATATACTTTTGATTCTGTTCCTTTTTTTCAAATCACACTTCATTTTTGGCTCCTATTGCATCTATCCCGATATTTGCCTAAGTCTCACAACTGACTTTTTAAAACAGTAGCACATTTTAAAAAAAGAACATTGTATTGCTTTATGCAATCCTGCCTCCTAACCTTTCCCATCATTTTAACCCATGAACTACTTGGCTGCTTAATGAAAATGTTATCCTTGAAAGATCTAAACACTTAAGTTTCTTTTAATTGTAATGTAACAAAAAGAAAGTACTTAAAATGACCTCCAAGGAGATCTCAGCCTATTCAAATGCTAATAATGAATTCCTCCTACCATTTAGATTTATCAGATCTTCATGTCTATGTCTGTCTCTATCTCTGTCACTTTCTTTTTAAATACTCAAGAACATATGTGGCTCAATGTTTAATGATTGGGTCCTTGCTTGGTTCTTTTCCTAAAGATGGTTCATGACTCCCTTTATGAGAAGGTTGATCTGCAAAAATCAGTAGAAGAAGCTTTTGACAGCATGAAAGCCTATTGCAGATTACAGCAACTCCTTTAGAGTTATACTCAGGGGTATCCATGGCTTTTTAAATTAAGCTAAAGATTACATGTAGCCTTAGGAAATAGGAGCAGAATCTGGTGGAAAAAGTTGGCAGAATACATTGAAAAATCCTTGAGCAATAAACCATAGGCACTGGAGTTCTTGAGTCTCATCTCTGCTTCTTTGTTTGCACAGGTAGAGAGAAGGTTCAAAGAGATCAGCCTTTGCTTATGTCAAAGAATCTGGTGGCATCATGCAAGACTCAGTCATTTTGTAATCCAAGAGAATAAAGTGATAAATTCAGTAGGCAGGACAGTTTCTGTTTCCACTTGCTTCAAGCATCAAAAAAATATTTCCTTAGTTTTGATTTGGTCCACAGTTGGCAGTGATGGGTGTTTAAATCTCCTATGGAGGCATTTTTTTTTCTTCTATGCATCTTTTGGCTCAGTTCACAATTCACAAAATCATCCCAACTGTACTAGGATCTCCCTATTTGATATCCAAGGATATAATGGAAGAACTCTGAAGATATTCCTATCAGTTCCCATTCTTACTACAGTTAAAAAGAATTTCCCCACTGCAGAGGAAGCATTAGACTTGTGGAAGGAAATCACCATTCAGTTGTCCTTTGCAGATATGGAAACTGAGAAAATGGAAAAGGTTTTCTTTGAAATCAGAGAATTTTCATTGTTTCTGATTTTTGTTTTGTTTCATACCCTCAGATTATTTAGTGGGTTTCAGCGCCTGCAAACAATAGCAAAGAAATATTGAAATCAAATGACTGAAAGCAAAGCATTATAAATAGATTCATGTCATCAGTCCTAAAGATGGAAAACAAAGCAGAGTTGAATAGGGAAGGAAGCAATAAATAGATAGGAGTCCTGTAGATTTTACTAGACTAGTCATTGCCAATAATAGGGGGCAGCACTCATCTCTCTTTCAAGGCAGTGATGTCCAAAGACACTTCCATGGTCATGTGGCCAGCATGACTATAAGCTGAGGTGCATGGAATGCTGTTATCTTCCCACCAAAGTGGTACCTATTTATCTACTTGTACTGACATGCATTTTAACTGCTAGGTTGGTAGGAGCTGGGCAAGGATGAGCTATCACCCTATATGTGGCACTTCGATCTCGAACCTGGGCTGCCAGCTTTCCAGCCAATACACCCTACATCTTAACCACTGTGCCACAATAAATAGATAAAGAAGATACATTTTCACCATCCAAAATAAGCTTTGCTTTTGTTGTTCTGATTTTTCTTGAAAAAATATACCATATGATTATGATAGCTTCATGCTTTTTTGGAGGGAGGGGGGAAATCACTGGGAGAAGTTATACCCAACAGGGCCAATATGCACCTAACCATCCAAGTTTCCAAGGTGCTTTATTTTAGGAATTAACAGCCAACAAAGGACTAGTATATCTAGTTCCATTTGTCCACAGATAACTTCTTCATTCCCCAAAGGCAGTTTCTCTAAACTAAATTAGTTGACCTTGGAAACGTTAGCTTAGATGACACAATTCCCCCTGTACCATTCTTCTCAATGATCTCTATATCAAATATCATATTTTGCCATTTCCAATAATGACATTTTTCTACCCAAATGTAATCTTGTCACATTAGAATAAAGTGTAGCCTCTTGATCTTTCTACCTCTACTGGTTAAAAAGTCATAACTCTTTTAACATCTTTATCATTTTTGTATTTTCATACAGCATCTGCCTTTTACCTAGAGGAAGAGGAGCAGATTTAGACTGAAGGTTAGAAGAAGGAGCTGGATTTATTCTTTTTGTCTGTAAGAGAAATGCCGGATTATTTCTGTTAAATTATTAACCAGCCATTTATTATATGTTGAGTATATTATTGCTAAACTGCAATTTGCAAATAGTCAAGAGTCCCTGGTTGACTCAGTAGTTTATAACCGTAACAAGTAAACAAATAAGATATAAAAGAATGTTTACATCAAATTACTGTTGCTCACTTACTTTACACTTGCCTGCACCAGGTTTGTATGGAAAGAACTTTCAAGGATAAAATCTGGAAAGTGAGTATTTCTGGGCCCCCTAAATTTTTACATGAAGTAAGGGAGTATTTTATTAATGGAACATGTTCCAATTTTCCCCCATTAAAACTGAAGTTTGGACAAAGCTTGCATGGGAATACTATCATTCTGTTACCACACAAATTGAACCGATAAAATATCATTTTTAGAACTTTTATGGATAAAATAGAACATTTAAGTACCAATTTTGTTTCTTAATATTGCCCACCTATTCCCCCCGCCAAATGAAAGAGGGCTAAGAATTTTGCTCCAGGACATTCTGAATAGAATTTGACAGTTGCAACATTGATTCTAGAAGGTCATTTTCAATCTCCAGTTAACCCTTAGTGCACTCCTGATCTAAAACTTAGGTTTGGTTATAAAAAAATACCCCTAGAATGTTATTATGATATATAATATTTCAAGAAATGAGCCAGCTTCTTCCTAATGCCCATATTCTGGTACCATTCTTGAATAATTGATCTGCAAGAAACTTTGTAATCCAAAATCTTCAGAATATGTGTTTACAGCAATTTAGTTGGTTACAAAAAGTAGAATTCACTGCTTGAAAGGCAATTCATGATGAAGGGTTACAAGTTTTGCACTAAGATTGGATGGCTTCAGTGTTTTTATGGGAAGTTGTTTCTTTGAAAAAAGAACTTTCAAGGATAAAATCTGGAAAGTGAGTATTTCTGGGGCCCCTAAATTCTTACATGAAGTAAGGGAGTATTTTATTAATGGAACATGTTCCAATTTTCCCCCCATTAAAACTGAAGTTTGGACAAAGCTTGCATGGGAATACTATCACTCTGTTACCACACAAAAGAGCAAGAGCAGAATTGGAGGGTGGAGTTAAATGCATTATACAGCAAGTTTTTGAGTCCCTGCATTATCACAAGTCCCAAGTCCAGACCCCCTTGAATTCTGTTGACCCTTATCTAGGGCCAATTTAGGGTTGACTATTAATTGACTAGATTCTTGTGTATAGGTTTGAATAAATCTTCTATGCTCCAACTTTATGAATTATTCTGTTTCTTTATCCCTGACATTAATCTCATTTAACTCCCCCCCCCCAGCTCTCTGCTCTTCTCCTACAGTTGGTATCATAGATTAACTGTCCTAGGTAGATGGAGATTCAAGAATAAGGCCATAATGTAATTCAATATATTAGTGGCAATTCAACCTCCCTTTACAAAAGCATCAAACCTAGACCTGATATGCAACATTCCAAAGGCATTATGTCTTTCTTGGCATTAGGAAGAAAGGACTGAATTATTACTGGTTGTATTCAACAAGCAGTTTAAGCTACTATATGGTTAGGCACAATCCCTGGAGGGTCGGGCCCATTAAAAAAATTCCCAACCCACTAGTTGAAGTTTTTCTCCCAGTACAGTTCTTTGCCTTATTTTTCATCCAGCAGTCTGGAAATGTGAAAATGTCACACTGGCTAGATGGAGTTATTATCACAAAGCCTCACCCTAGAACCATGCTATAAAGGAACAAAATACATTGGAAAGTGATGTTTATTTAGGAAGCTGACATACCATAGCTGGATATATGTTTGGAACAGGAGGTGGAGGGATATTTGGTTTCACAATGGGCTGAAATGAAAGTAAATTGGAAGGGTTTTTAGTTGCCTTTCTACACAGTATTCAAGATTCATTTTAAAAAGCGCTTCCAACATCTATTGGAGATCACATTTCCTGTCAAGCTTAAACTATGAGTCATCTGTCTGCAACAAAAATTAACCCTTATTCCTTTTCTCCACCAAATGTGCAGTTGTATGAACTCAAAATTCTAAGCATTTTCACAAAGCAAAAATTTTCCCTGATTCTTTGAGGAAAGCTCTAACAGAAACTTCAGACAGAAATCCACAACAAATTTGTTCAATATCATAGGATCATAGACCATATGAAATTGAATATAGAATAGAATATATATGGAGTATGCAGTGGTATGTGAGGATGTCCTAGGGAGATAAGAAGAAGAGAAGGAGAGGAAGTAGTCCCCCAGTACCTTAATAGTCAGATGAAGAAACTTAGGAAGGATTCACTTTAACTGATTATGACTTGTAAGATTGTATTAATGTAGCCTTACAATAATGTAGAATAAGTTAATCTTTCCTGCCTATTTTATCCAGGAGAGATGATAGACTGGTCTATGACTACCCAACCCTAGTTGAAAAACACTCATAATGGGGGGTTGTCATTTTTCTAATCAAATTCTTCACTGATATTCATACTCACTTTTCTTTCTTGCCATTTCAATTCAATTCACCGAGGCATGTTCCAATTTTTGTTTCAACAGAAGACAGGTCTATTTTCTCTAGCGTATGACAACTCTTTATATATTTGTAAGTCTCTGTCAATGTCTGGCACTGAGTTCCTTATATTTTCTCACAAACCAAACATCTCCACTTTCCCAGTTCCTTCAACTTTTCAAAGGACAGAGAGTTTAGGCCTATCATCCTAGTACTCTCCTGCAAGATTGCCCTCTGTTGGAGTCATAAGGGAAAGGTACGAGGATGTTAGCATGCCTGCCATATAGAGACACTAATGGGAGTTGTGTGCCATAAAAAATCCTTTCCTCAACTAGAAGAAGTGAAAGTATATAAGAAACTTGCTGGTTCTCAGGAAACTGTATCTAATAGGATTCCAGAGCTCTGCAGAGGTCATAGGGAATGGTCTTGAAGAATAGAAAGAAGGGGCTTGAAGAGTGACTTGAGTCTGTGTCAAGGAGATAACTGTAGGAGAATGAGTCACAGCCTGGAGGTGGAGTCGAGAGGAATCAACCTGGAGTCTTTACATTCCAATGAGCAGTCTAAGTCCAACCCCTCTTGAATTCCGATAACATTCATGTAGTGCCAGTTTAGTGCTGACTGCAAATTGACTGTACATTCTTGTGTATAGGCATGAGCAATAAATCAGCTTAATCAGAATTTAACCTATGGCCCTATTTCTTCACACTTGATAATGACTTAAGAAAACATCTTGGAGAAGTTCCTCGCTATTTCACATGAAGATAAAATGAGGAAGGAGAAAACACACTCAGACTTACAAGATTCTATTACACTGTTGCAATAAAGATAGTCTTGGCTTACAGTATATGTCATTGGTTTCTACTTTGTTGGGCTGACAAATCCTTCAGACTGGTTTTCTATATCACTCAATCTTTGCAACACTCTCCATAGTGTTTTTAAAGTATAGTGCTCAAAACTGGACCTAATATATTCAGCAAACAAGATTTAACCAGTCAGAATTCAATGGAACCATTTCATCTAGGCACAATGCTTCCATTAATACAGCCCAGGGATGTCTTAATCTATTTTAGCCCCTGAATTGTTTTATTCTGTTTATCCTTGACAGTGGTGCAATGAAAACTGGTCAAGGGATGCATTATTTGCCATGAAATCACCTAAATGCCCTCCAGCTACATATATCCCTTTGGGTATTGATATACTTTAATGATTGACGTGTCATTGGTTATTTTCTTGAAATCTGCCTAATTCAGAACAGAATTATAATGTTATTGGATAATTGACATAATCCAATAATTTGCATCTGCAATTGATTTGTTACCAGTTTATGGAAAAACCTCTGCTGGAAATGCATTGTAGAAAATATTATATTAATGGACAGTTTGGGAAATTTAAGCATAATACTCCATGTTAGCATTTGTAGACGACGAACAGTTGATTTCTTGTGTTCAAAAATATTCATCTCATAAGATTTTCACTTTTCTATAGGCTACATAGAATGAAGTATGATGCTCCAAAAAAAGTGGTGTGTGTGTATGTGTATATGTGTGTGTGTGTGTGTGTGTGTGTCAGGGAATTAGTAGAATCAGAGGGAATGTCTACCAGTATTCTGAAGTTGTTGGATCAAATAACCATTCATTTAGAAACTTACCATTCTGGCATTTTCATATTTGTGTCTTAATGGTTCATCTGGGATTTTCTGTTAATAATGAAATACATCAGTTTAATCAGTTGATTTTTCCAAGAATGTGTGTTAACTAGCTAATTTTGTAGAACTCCCTTATGACAGAATAATGATGTTCCTATAACATTGGATAGTATGCAGATTATCCCTACTCTATACACGGATTTAAAGTGCAGAAAGGAAATAATAATTTAAATAATCAGAAACTACTTGTTGTGTTTCAGAATACTAGTATGGCTTTTTCAACAAAGGTTAAAAAGTGTGCAGATTATTTGTTTTTCATTGCAACATTCTAGATCTTAAAGTTGCAAAGTTTGAAAAAAATCTTATATATGCATATCTATTTTTCTAAAGTACAATTACATTCTATATGTGCTCATAAAGAAGTACATTGAGTCCAATGAACATTAATAGAGAGATTTTCCCCCATTTGTTTAAAATCCTTCACATTTGTCAAGTAACTATATTCACATATCACTATCTTATTCTTATCAAAATATATTGCATGAGTCACAATGCTTAGTTTACACTAAACATAAACCATGATTGATAAACGACAATATTCTGATTCATACAACATGCTAACCTGAAATAAAATAAAATTTACTTGGCTCAATGTAATATGTACATTCACACCACTGACAAAAAAACAGCACATTTTATTTTATTTATGGAATATATATATATATATTGTTTGTTAAAGACTGCTTTAGACTCATATGCAAGAATTGTTCCATTGAATTTTACTTACAACATGGACTTCTGGTGTATTTGATTGGGATGGAATTGGGAGGAGAAATCTGGAAGAATTTATCTGAAAGGAAGAAACAGACTCTTTGAGTATATTGGTTTTAAAGCCAAAAATCTTCACACACTTAGCCAGATCAGTTATAAGCCTTGTAGGTGCATTTCCATACATACATAATTCCATGAAGGTTAACATTAATTATTTTGTGTTGCTTTCTTTACAAACACATTCTATTGAGTGTATTGTGCAAACAATAGGCTAGTTCAGTATTTATAGCAATTGTGTTATTTTTGTTTTTGAAAACAACATAGAGTTGTGTTGCATCTTGAAAGATAACAGGTTGATTGACCTTATCTTACAATCACAGCAATAGAATCAACAACATGTTTCTCTCTCTGCATAATGAATAAAAAGGCAAGCATTTTGTCTCTGTGTTGATGAAAATCTCCCACATTTAGCACAGTTTCAACATCTTGTTTCTTGTTGTAGGAATTGTGTAAACAGCCTCTAAACCCACCCTGGTTCCCAAATTCCTTAAATTACCACTGGAAAACCATTCTTCATGAAGCCAATGGATAAAGCATTTTATAAAATTTCAGTGTTCTACTCTGCTCAGGCAACCCATTTGATCTCTCACCCCTGGATCCTTGGACACTGGACCAAGATGCTGTTTCCACTTGTGATCTGGACCAGACAAAGAAGGATTTGTGGCTGCAGGTGCACTTTTGTGAATGCTGCTAAAAATAATAGAATATTATAGTTAGGATAGGATTCTTTTTTAAAAACAATTTTTATTTATTTTTAAACAAACAAACAAATAGAAAAATAGGGAAAAAAACCATCTTCCATTACAAATTGTAGAAAGTGTGCCAGTTGGTTACAGTATTTCCATGCATCTCTTCCATAGTCACCACCTGCTTTTCATATCAAATCACATATTTTAAATTCACCTATATTTATGTATATCACAATTATTATATCTCAACCTTAATTTGACTATAATTGTTTTTATGTCCTTTTATATATAATATTCAAAATATAGAACATAGGATTCTGAACAGTATTCTACACAAAAGTCAAGGTAACACTGGAAATACCTTGAATGTCTGCTTTCCTTCCTTCCTTCCTTCCTTCCTTCCTTCCTTCCTTCCTTCCTTCCTTCCTTCCTTCCTTCCCCAGCCTACCAGTAGTTACCTGACAACTGCTGATATCCTAAATTGTTTTGTTTTTTACATATACTATACTTCAGTCAATACTATAATTCAGTCAACATCTAGTAACTTCAGCGAGAGATTTCCTGAACTGAATATCCATTTTTATACAGCTTTTTCCAAGTCAGTACATGTTCAGCCTCTCCATTAAGCTGGAAGAACCCATCACTGCTTTTTTTTATGGATCTCAGCAAACTGGTAATCTCCCCACACTTAAAAGAAGCTTGGCTGAGAACATTCAAAAGCTTCACCTGTCTCCTTGTTTCTTCTTTAAAATGTAGCAGCGGAAGAGAACTGCAAAGAGGATGGCCATGGCTACTGAGACTAATACCACAGTTACAACAATGATGATGATAATATCTAAAAAATAAAGAGAAAAGGCTATGAATAGACTTGATCAAATCACAGTGGAAACATAGAGACAATCAGTTGAAAATTATATTGCTCTAAGCCCTGGCATTTCTCAGCCATGCAATAAGAGTTTTTCCTAAGAGCCACTGTTGAGAATTGCCTGGAATGTATTTATTTATTCAATTATTTCAATGTAGGTGCTACCCAACTATGAAAACAAGTAATATACAATAAACCTCATTTCATGAATGACTTTAACTAGTCATCATCCTTTAAGATTAACACACTCTAACTGAACCCCATGACTTTTAGATGTGTTGGGATTACAGTTCCCTTACTGATAAATAAATTTGGTTCAAGGAAGATCTAACTTACCTCCCAAGATAGTCTTGTAAATGGATGTAGCAGGATAATTAAGAAAGGAAACTATCATCTGTTAAATGTATACTTGGATTTTCACTATTAAGTAGTTTTAGATTACTCTTGCTATCCATAGTTAAATAAATTGCAGAAAGGCTTAAACTTATTTTTCCCTTCTTACAATTAAGGTATAGTTTGCAATACTCCATTGCTAGATAATAATAGAAAAATTGAGATATCAAACACTATTTTGGATAAGGATTAACTGTCTAAGATTCAAGTAAATCCCCATTTTCATGCAATAGTTTAGTCCAAAGTTACTGTGGATACTTTCTACTGTATGAACTGAGTCTAAACCATTTATTACTTACAATATGGAACTAATGAAAATTACTTAAGAGGTAACCATGAATATCAGAAAAGGGAATACAAGGGAATTGCTTTGGGTAAAGAAATGACAAATACAATTACTTTTATAATAAAATGAAATAACCCACAGAGGAACTGATTTATCATTTATGGAAAGATCATAATGGCATTTAACAGATCATAATAGTCTTTTAACAGATTAACGGAGTTGGAAGGGACCTTGTAGTCCAACTGCCCACCAAGTAGGAGACCCTACACTGTTTCTGACAAATGGCCTTCTTCTTGAAAACCTCCAATGATGAAACTCCCACAACTTCTGGAGGCAATTTCTGTTCCATGGGATGATTGGTCTTGCCATCAGAAAATTTCTCCTTATTTTTAGGTTGAATCTCTCCTTGATCAGTTTCCATCCATTGTTACTTATCTGGCCTTCAGGTGCTTTCAAAAGTAGCCTGACTCCCCTCCTTTTTCTGACAGCCGTTAAAATATTGGAATACTGCTATCATGCCACTCGTGCCCCTTCTGTTCATTAGACTAGCATATGTTTTAGCCTCCAGTCCCCTAATCATTTTTGTTGCTCTTCTCTGACCTTTTTCTAGAATCTCGACATCTTTTTTTATAGTGTGGTGAACAAAACTGGATGGAGTATTTTAAGTGTAATCTTACTAAGACATATCACTAATCTTCATAAAAATAACAAATAGAACCTTAAAATGTAATGATGAGGTGGATCTTCTCCCTATATATTTTATCCACAATAAAAATATTCAGGAGATGGGAGAAAAGAGATAGCCACTAGAGCAAGGCCAACCCCCAGGCTGCATACTAGTACTGGTCCATGGCTCATTGGGAACTATACCACACAAGTGGTGGGTAAGCATACAAAGCTGCACAAGCATGAAACATCCCCTTCCACCCCCATTTGCTGTTGCTGCTGCTGGTCCATAGAGCCAGAAAGGTTGACAACTGCTACATTAGAGGGATGCCCACAGGCCATGGTCAAAAATATAAATTGATGGTGATGATGGTAAGGTTGAAGCTCTGCCCACTTGTATTGATGTGATGATCCCCATGAAAGGAGATGAAGCTCCAATTACACTCTTGCAGCTACCAATTTGCCTGTTTCTTTAAACATATCCTACCTCTGACTTATTTATTGGTACCAGCTAAAAAGAGTTCCATCCATCATTTCCTATTTTCTTATGAAGATGTCATACTGTGGTGCATTTGCTATAAAATATGCTGAGAAAAGAAAGACCTCCAAAATGTCTAGTATTAGTATTTGCAGGTGGAGTATCAAATGTTATTAAGACAATCCACTCATCCCAGGGATTTAAAAAAAAAACACCAATTGATTTATGTCTCCAGAACCTCTAATTAGGTTCTGGCTGGAGGGACAAGTGCTCCCCTGAATTTACTCACTTTTATTTCCTGTAGGGTCACAGTAAGGCGGTGTTGTTCCTTCTTGGCACTGGCACTGCAGTTCATGGTCACATACCTAGGATAGCAAAGACTGGTATTAATCTTTGAAACAAATAGAAGGAAAAAGAAGCTGTCAACATTCTCTTGCATTTTTATGAAGTCTGAAGAAGGCATAAAATCCTGAACCATAAAACTGAACCTAATACTGAGCCACGGTGGTGCAGTGGTTAGAGTACAGTACTGCAGACTAGTTCTGCTGATTACAATTTGGCAATTCAAATCTCACCAGGCTCAAGGTTGACTCAGCCTTCCATTCTTCCAAGGTGGGTAAAATGAGGACTCAAATTGTTGGGGGCAATAGGCTGACTCTGTAAACTGCTTAGAGTGGGCTGTAAAAGCACTGTGAAGCGGTATATAAGTCTAAGTGCTTTTGCTATTAATTAGGCAGACGAAAAGTTGGAAATCCATTTAAACATCCTACACAGAAAAAGATATTAAGGGTTTCTGCCACAGCTGTTGGGACTGTTTAGATAGTTCCAAAGACCATCTAAACAGCCTAGTCACTATTCTCAATCAGCTGAGTTATTAGACTAATTCTAACAACAGCACAGCATGGACAAGGTGTTTCTCTTTTGATATTATGAGAGTTGTGGTCAAAGCATTTATACAGTACAGCAGGGTAAAAAGGACTAAATCAAGCTTTGAGGTTCCTTGTGATGGTTAAAGGTATCAGGAAAATATTAACTTAGAACAAATAGTTTTTCTCCCTCCCTCTCTCCATCCATCATCCATCCATCCATCCAGTTTATTTACTGCCCCATTCCAATCAGACTTTATCAAAATGCACCAAAATTAAATAGCACAATGATGTTAATTCAAAAACAATGAGGTATAACAATGTAATTCAAAACAATAAAATTTTATTTTGGTATTGGTTGACTTCACTTTTAGTCCTCAAAAACCTTCTGGAAGTGCCAGGTTTTCATGACCTCTTAAAGACCATGAGAGAGGGGGCATTCCCATTTGAGTTATTGGTATTTGACATTCTAATTTATGACAAAAGATTTTAATCTAATTCCATTCCTACCTGTTAATTTTAAAGCTCAATTTAATGTAATTTAGACTTTAAAGCCATAAACTATTCTGGCTTGATAAATATAGAGGTTCATCTCTTTCTAAATTCTAGTCACACTTAGAGAAAAAAATGAAATATTTTTAGCATCAGGGATTCTGGAAAGCACTTTTTGAGGGTAAGTCTTTATTTGTTTAATAAAAGAGAAGAAAAAAGAGAACAATACCACAGAAAAAAGAAAAGAATAAAAGGGAAATTATGTAAATTTTGCATGTAGACATAAACACAAAGTTTTACCTAACACTCAGCTCAACAAACCATTTTTCATTTAGTTCCAATTCTGCCTTCAATGAAAATTATTTTCAGGATGGATTTTATTTTTGAAGTTACTATATAGATATTAATTGTAAAATTATAATCATAATGATACTCATTTACTTTTTAGTGCAACAAACATATTTAGGTATAGATGTCAACGTCATCAATGTCACGTTGTTAAGTGAGATGTTTGTTAGGTGAGTTTTGCTGCCTTTTACAACTTTGCTTGCCACAGTTGTTAAGTGAATCACTGAAAATGTGAAGTTAGTAACATCGTTGTTAAGTGAATCTCGCTTCCCCATTTGTTTTGCTTGTTAGAAGGTCACAGAAGGGGATCACATGACCCCAGGAGACTGCAACCATCATAAATATGAACCAGTTGCCAAGCATCCAAGCATGATCATAGGGATGCTGCAACAGTCGAAAGGGTGAACAACAGTCATAAATCACTTTTTTCAATCCCATTGTAGCTTTGAATGGTCACTAAATGAACTGTTGTAAATCAAGGATTACTTGTAAGTTTTTTACAGGCCAAGCCCAAAGCAGAACAGTCTTAAAGAGCATGGAGAATATTTTAGCTGCAATATAAAATACAAAATGCTTACAGAGTGTCCTGGGCATTTCTGTGAACAGTTAGTAGATCTGTAGGCTGTTTCTATCTGAACACACTCCCCGTCTTTGCAGACCTGAAAGTCAAAGTAAAAGATTATGAATAGAATAAGACAGCAGTTTCCTACACAACAGAATTCTGACATTCTCTGGAACAAGAGCAGGTTCTTCAATGAATTTCATCCAAGTTCTATAGTACTGGTTCCCAACATGGGGCCCACAATTTGATTTCTTATGTGGGCAATTCGAACCTTGTTTAAACCAAGTATTTTAGGCTTCCTCTGCATGAGGTGGAGTTCATATTTTGAATAAAGTAAGAATTATATGTCACGGGGGGTGGGGGGACACCATCAGGATTTTAGAGATGCTTTGATGGGGCATGACCATAAAAAGGTTGGGAACCACTGTTCTATACTTTGTAAAAAGACAGGAGTGTGTGTGTGCGTGATTCCCGATCCTTTAAAATAAGCTTTGGGATTGCCTCAGCACTTCCAAATGCCTTCACTGAATTGATGCTGAGTGCTGAGGCAAATCTACCCCTCTTCTCTCTTCCACCTTCCTTATGGAGATACCCACAAGTGAAGAGAAAGGACTGTCTCTGTCCAGAAAGTGTTGCAGGGGAGAAGCACAAGGCTCTAAGAAGACCAGGCATTTTGTTCTTAGAAGAAAGGGCCTCCACTGGAGGAGCCTTGGTGGTGCAGTGGTTAGAATGCAGTATTGCAAGCTAACTCCGTCCACAGTCTGGAGTCAAGGTGGCGCAGTGGTTAAATGCAGCACTGCAGGCTACTGCTAGATCAGCAGGTCAGCAGTTCAAATCTC